ACTTCTGTTCAACATTGTACTGGAAGTTCTAGCAATAAGGCAAGAAAATAAACAGCATCCAGATAAGAGAGGAAGATCTAAGACTGTCTTTATTAATAGATGGCACAACCCTCTATGCAAACAATCCTAGGGAATCCACAAATAAGAAGTATATTAAAACTAATAATCGAGTTTAGCAAGACTGTAGAATACATAATCAATATGCTAAAATCAACTCTAATTCTATATTCAAAAAATTAAAAATGGGAAATTGAAATTTTAAAAGTAATGTCATATACAACAGTATCAAAAATATTAAATACTTGGAGATAAATTTGATAAAGGATTATAAGACCCCACACCGAAATTTACAAAGTATTACTGAGAAAAATTGAGATAAATAAATTAAGAGATATGTACCATGTGAATGAACAAGAAGATTCAATACTGTTAAAATGTCAGTTCCCCCAAAATTGATCTATAGGTTCAAAGCAATCCCAATCAACATCTTCTTAAGATTTTTTTGTAGAATTTGACAGCTGATTCTAAATTCATATGGAAATACAAAAATTCAAAATAGTCAAAATAACTTTGAAAGAGAAAAACAAATTTGACTTATCCTACCTTATTTCAATTCTGTTTTATTTACTATAAAGCTAATTACTAGTTCCGATTTCAATTGCTACAGAAAATAACTTTGAAAGAGAAAAACAAATTTGACTTATCCTACCTTATTTCAATTCTGTTTTAATTACTATAAAGCTAATTACTAGTTCCGATTTCAATTGCTACAGAACTATCATAATCAAAACATTTTATTGCTGTAACAGTAGAAAAGTAGATCAATGGAAACAGAATAGAGAGTTGAGAAATAGTTCCACATATATATGATCAATTGCATTTCAACAAAAGTGCAAAGGCCATTCTATCATGAGTGTATATTTTTTTCAAGAAATGATGCTGGGTCATTTTGGTATCTATATACAAAACAATCAACCTCAACTTATATCACCAGCCACACATTAAAGGTAACTGAAAATGGATTATAGACCTTATTGTAAAGCCCGAAATTATAAAACTTCTATAAGAAAATGTAGTAGAAAATCTTTGCGACTTTGAGTTAACCACAGATTTCCTAGATATAACACCAAAAGCACAATTCATGAAAGAAAAAAATTGACAAATCAGACATCACCAAAATCATCAGCTTCACTATTTGTAAAACACTTTTTTTTTTTTTTTCCTTTTTGAGACCGGCCGCACCGCGCTCATCCAGTGAGCGCTGTGAGCACACCGGTCATCCCTATATAGGATCCGAACCCGCGGCAGGAGCGCTGCTGTGCTCCCAGCGCCCCACTCGCCTGTAAAACACTTTTAAGACGATGAAAAGGATAGGCCATAAACTGGTAGAAAATATTTATAAATCAATTATTTGATAAAGGACTTGTATCCAGAATATATAAAAAATTCCTAAAGCACAATAAGAATACAAACAATTCAATTGAAAAATAGGCAAAAGATTTGAATAGACATTTTCCCAAGAAGATAAGCAGATGGGAAATAAGCACACAAAAAAATATCCAGCATCATTAGTCACTAGAGAAATGCAAAAGAAAATCACAATGAGCTATCACTTTATACCTATTAGAGCAGTTAAATCTAAAAAGACCAACTGTACCAAGTGTTGGTGATGGTGTGGGGAAACAGGAATCCACATTTTGCTGACAAGAGTATTTATACTCTCATTTTAATGGTAAAACCACTTTGGAAAACAATCTGGCATTTTCTTTAAAAGATAAACGTATACCTCCTATATGATCCAGCCATTCCATTTCTCAAGAGAAATGAAATAGTATGTCCACACAAAGTTTTGTATATGAATGTTCATAGCAGCTTTATTTGTAATAGCACCAAAGTAGGAATCACCCAAATTTATTTCAACAGGTGAATGGATAAAAAAATTGTGATACAGCCATACAATGGAATACTACTCATCACTAAAAAGGAATGAAATGACAATTCATGCAACAACATGGATAAATCTCAAAATAATTCTGTGGAACAAAAGAAGCTAGATGAAAAAGAGTACATAATATATTACTTCAATTACGTAAAATTGCAGAAAATATGAATTAATCTATTGTGACAGAAAGTATATCAGTAGTTTCAAGGGGGGAGGGAAGGGAAGGAAGAGATTGGCCACTGAGAAGTGTGGAAGACAGGGTATAAAAAACAGGAGAAAACTTCTGGGGGTAATGGATATGTTCATTATCCTGACCATGGTTATGTTTTCATGGGAGTGTAGCTATGTCCAAACATCAAATTGTCCTTCTTTAATACGTGCAGTTTGTTATATGAAAATTATAACTCAATAAAGCTCTCAAATACATCAGGTGAAATGTAAAATTCTTCAGGAGAATTTGCTTTTTAACTTTTTAACTCTTTTGTCTCTACAAAAGGTCTATAATCTCATGTTTTTATACCAGATTATCTTAAAACATGCTATAACCTGTAACATATTTAGGCAACACAGCATCTTTCATGATTTTACCGAAATTTTTAACTTCAATTTTTGTCTTTTTTTTTCTTTTTCTCTCTTGATAACACCATTTAAGTGATACTATTTTTTTAACCTGTGATTGTGTATTTTCCCAGAGGCAAAATGACTTCTTCTTTAAATGGTCTATGTAAAACAGATTATTCTATAGGAGCAAGATAGCCCTCTTACATTTCCTGGCTCTGTTATTTACAGTTGTTGTGTCATGGAACACACTAAGCCTTAGAAAGCCATTAGAATATAAGGCAATTTTGAAAAGCATTTGGCTCCAATTTTAGGAACAATTTCCAGTTTGGGATTGTGCCAAAGGACTCAGGAGAGCTGGTGGGTTCAAGGATCTTACTAGATCCATGGAAGTGTTCGGTCTCCCTGATTTGCAAGATAAATGCCAATATATGTATAATTACCAATTTTAGGAACAATTTCCAGTTTGGGATTGTGCCAAAGGACTCAGGAGAGCTGGTGGGTTCAAGGATCTTACTAGATCCATGGAAGTGTTCGGTCTCCCTGATTTGCAAGATAAATGCCAATATATGTATAATTACCAATTTTAGGAACAATTTCCAGTTTGGGATTGTGCCAAAGGACTCAGGAGAGCTGGTGGGTTCAAGGATCTTACTAGATCCATGGAAGTGTTCGGTCTCCCTGATTTGCAAGATAAATGCCAATATATGTATAATTACCAATTTTAGGAACAATTTCCAGTTTGGGATTGTGCCAAAGGACTCAGGAGAGCTGGTGGGTTCAAGGATCTTACTAGATCCATGGAAGTGTTCGGTCTCCCTGATTTGCAAGATAAATGCCAATATATGTATAATTACCAATTTTAGGAACAATTTCCAGTTTGGGATTGTGCCAAAGGACTCAGGAGAGCTGGTGGGTTCAAGGATCTTACTAGATCCATGGAAGTGTTCGGTCTCCCTGATTTGCAAGATAAATGCCAATATATGTATAATTACCAATTTTAGGAACAATTTCCAGTTTGGGATTGTGCCAAAGGACTCAGGAGAGCTGGTGGGTTCAAGGATCTTACTAGATCCATGGAAGTGTTCGGTCTCCCTGATTTGCAAGATAAATGCCAATATATGTATAATTACCAATTTTAGGAACAATTTCCAGTTTGGGATTGTGCCAAAGGACTCAGGAGAGCTGGTGGGTTCAAGGATCTTACTAGATCCATGGAAGTGTTCGGTCTCCCTGATTTGCAAGATAAATGCCAATATATGTATAATTACCAATTTTAGGAACAATTTCCAGTTTGGGATTGTGCCAAAGGACTCAGGAGAGCTGGTGGGTTCAAGGATCTTACTAGATCCATGGAAGTGTTCGGTCTCCCTGATTTGCAAGATAAATGCCAATATATGTATAATTACCAATTTTAGGAACAATTTCCAGTTTGGGATTGTGCCAAAGGACTCAGGAGAGCTGGTGGGTTCAAGGATCTTACTAGATCCATGGAAGTGTTCGGTCTCCCTGATTTGCAAGATAAATGCCAATATATGTATAATTACCAATTTTAGGAACAATTTCCAGTTTGGGATTGTGCCAAAGGACTCAGGAGAGCTGGTGGGTTCAAGGATCTTACTAGATCCATGGAAGTGTTCGGTCTCCCTGATTTGCAAGATAAATGCCAATATATGTATAATTACCAATTTTAGGAACAATTTCCAGTTTGGGATTGTGCCAAAGGACTCAGGAGAGCTGGTGGGTTCAAGGATCTTACTAGATCCATGGAAGTGTTCGGTCTCCCTGATTTGCAAGATAAATGCCAATATATGTATAATTACCAATTTTAGGAACAATTTCCAGTTTGGGATTGTGCCAAAGGACTCAGGAGAGCTGGTGGGTTCAAGGATCTTACTAGATCCATGGAAGTGTTCGGTCTCCCTGATTTGCAAGATAAATGCCAATATATGTATAATTACCAATTTTAGGAACAATTTCCAGTTTGGGATTGTGCCAAAGGACTCAGGAGAGCTGGTGGGTTCAAGGATCTTACTAGATCCATGGAAGTGTTCGGTCTCCCTGATTTGCAAGATAAATGCCAATATATGTATAATTACCAATTTTAGGAACAATTTCCAGGGGCACATATAGAGGACTCACATTGTGGGTACCATTCTAAATAGAGGAATAGAAACCTGAGTTTTTAAAAATAGTTAGAAATAATAATTCAGACAAACTGGTTTCTTTGAAAATATGTTGTGATAATAGCAGATAGAGGACTCATTTGTCTGATCCCATAATTACATAGTTTAAGAGAATTAAAAGCAATTTTTTTATCATGTGTAATGAATGCAGACGATAGAATAATGGCGCACTCTTTTCCCCCAGAAATGTGTATATAGTCTTATTCTTACATTGAAATTCATTCAGAAAATCATGATGCATAGACATTTTAGTTTTTTTCTGTTTCTTTTGTATTTTCTTCCAAACACTTGATAAAAAACCTGTTCCTTTTCAGATGTTTGAAAATGATGATAAAACCACATTAAAGTATGATGCAGAAATTTATTCCATGATATTGCCATTTTGGGTGTTATTTTGCTTTGTCAGTTATATCATGCAGGTAAGCTTTTAAATCAATGAAACAGTCCTGAGCATGATTACTTCTTGGTATCATTCTTTTATTTAAAAGTTAAAAATGTAATAATTAAATGTTACAAAGAAATAGAAAAGAGTTAAGAACAAATGCAGACTTTTTTGTTTGTTTTCNAGAGGACTCATTTGTCTGATCCCATAATTACATAGTTTAAGAGAATTAAAAGCAATTTTTTATCATGTGTAATGAATGCAGACGATAGAATAATGGCGCACTATTTTCCCCCAGAAATGTGTATATAGTCTTATTCTTACATTGAAATTCATTCAGAAAATCATGATACATAGACATTTTAGTTTTTTTCTGTTTCTTTTGTATTTTCTTCCAAACACTTGATAAAAAACCTGTTCCTTTTCAGATGTTTGAAAATGATGATAAAACCACATTAAAGTATGATGCAGAAATTTATTCCATGATATTGCCATTTTGGGTGTTATTTTGCTTTGTCAGTTATTTCATGCAGGTAAGCTTTTAAATCAATGAAACAGTCCTGAGCATGATTACTTCTTGGTATCATTCTTTTATTTAAAAGTTAAAAATATAATAACTAAATGTTACAAAGAAATAGAAAAGAGTTAAGAACAAATGCAGACTTTTTTGTTTGTTTTCCAGGGATTGTTTTATGGCAGAGCAGGGGAGATTTTAACCATGAGATTAAGACAGTTGGCATTTAAAGCCATGTTATATCAGGTCAGTGTTTAGTTGAATTTTTCTTACTTTATTTAAAATTTGTTTAAAAATATTCTAGGTTTTAGTTCTTTCTCAAGTCAATTTGTTGACATAGTCTTTCCTTTAGGTCATTTAAAACTATGACATTAGGGCTGGCCCCGTGGCTCACTCAGGAGAGTGTGGCGCTGGTAGCGCCGAAGC